TGGGGCAGGAATAGGTTTAAAGGGAGGATATACGATGTTTGTTTTTGAGTACAGTAGAACCCTCGACCTCAACACTAATCCATTCTAGAAGGATCACCAAGAGTCAATGCAGTCAAGTTCTGAATCAATTTTTCCCATAAGAAATAACTGAAAATGGATTAATCCATTCTTGACCACGAAGTTTCTACCCTAATCTTCCCTTTTTATACAAAACATTACACAGAAATTTCAAAGTAAATAAGTTCAGAGTTAAATACTATAATTTGAAATACAACATTAAAAACGTTTTAAACAACTACAGAATGGCCCATACCTTGAGACTGATGAGGATCTGGATCTGTGACACGGAGGTGGAGAGGAGGTCAGGAGAGAGAGCCATTGTTTGCAAGGGAAATCCCTTTCCATAAAATCAACTGGGAGCTGCGTTTCAGGAGTTTTCCCCCCTTCCTAGCCTTTTTTCACTAGCACCTGGTTGGCTTTCTCTAAAAAAAAAAATTCTGTAATGGTCTGTTGTTGGCATTTCCTTAACTTTTCTAAAAGGGTTTACTAAATTATCATCAACAATATCGATAACACAGTTAACCAGTTCCTTATGATTCTTTTCAAAAAACTCTTTCTTAGGACCCATGTATTTTAATCTAAAAACAGTACAAAAAGCCACAAAACTAAGAAAATTATAGCAAAACACTTGGAACACAGCTGCAAAAGGTTTAAAAAACACGTACTAACAATGCCAACACCAAGTGATCGAACCACGAACTGCTTTTGTTTACAAAAATCACGTGCCAGATGGTTGTATTCTGATGTTTTGTTCAAGCTGGATGCGAAATTTTCTGGACATTTCGAGCTGAAATCCGATTATGTCGAGTGCTGATGCAGGGTTCTGCTGGCTGGTAAATTGGAGATGCCTATTACATCTGTGGTGCGGTAACTTATTTGATAATCCTCCTTTTTTCTTTTTCTTTTTGTAGCCTCTTCTTTCTTGATGGGTTTGGGAAAGAGTATGGAGGGAAATCCTGATTGGATTCAGTTGTGAGTGATTGTTCATCGTGATGGCAAAGCTTGGAACATGGGGATTGGCCAGTTTTGCTACCCTTCTGGGAATAAAAGGAGCCATCGCAGAAGCAAGGGGTTGGGGGGTCACTATCAAGAAGGAAGAGCCAGAGCACCCTGTGAATTGCACCCCCTCAATCTAGGCACAGAAATTTGTAATACCATAGGAACGGTAGCAGAACCAAGAGCCAAAGCTTGAGACACAGTGGTGGGCTTCCCAGCCCCAAAAGTAAGTCAAACTGAGTGCGTTCCGGCTGGAGTCTCATTTATGGAGTGGGATAATTGGGGAGCTACGTTTGCTGACCCACAGAGCTAGAGGCTGAACTGAGTACCTTTGAACGGAGGCTTATGGGGGAGTGGCATCATGCCCTTCGGGCATTTATAGTAAGGTGACCAGATGTCCCGCTTTTGACCGACCGTCCCGAGTTTTAACAATTTTTCCCGTGTCCCTCGGCGTTTTAAAAAAGTCCCGATTTTTGGAAAGAATGCACGACAGGCTAGGGTATATGGTTTTCAGCTGCCATGTGGCTATTTTACCAGGATATGAGTTTTATCAATGGTGTCCCGCTTTACCAATGTTAAAGTCTGGTTACCTTAATTTATAGGGCACTGAAAGAACTCTTTATGTTGCCTGAGCAGGGCAGAGGTCAAGGACCAGAAAGTGGTATGCCTGTGGGCAAAGCCGAGGGGGCTGTCCTAACTGCAAGAACTGTGTCTTGAGAGTTTCTGATCCAATATTGTAACCTATTAACTTTCCTAATAAACTCCATAATTTTGAATATGAACTTCAAGTGATGTAACACCATTGCAATGAATTATTGAATCCATCTGACCAGAGTACTGTGGGAGGGACAATTGGGATCAGATGGTAATTAAAGTTGGAGGGTGGAGGCATGTCTGACTCTTGCCTAATAGAAATTGGCCTCGGGCTGATTTTGAGTTGATTCTACTTCCACTTTGCAAAGCTGAAGGAAGTCAGACTTGGCCCCCACACCGTGTCTAGGATATCCAAAGGAGCTAACCCAAAGGTTGGTAGTTCAAACTCACTAGCTGTCTGAGAGCAAAAAAAAAAAAAAGACATGGCCATTTGCTTTAGTAAAGATTAGAGCCTTGGAAACCCTTAGGGAAATTGTACTCTCCTTAAGGGTTGTTGAGTTGGAATCTACTTAATGGGAAAGGGCTTTGTTTCTATTAGACCCACAAATGAAGATGCCAAGAAAGTAGGTGAATATACAAGCCGGGAACTTGAGATTGGGAAATTCTAACTCCTAGCAACCCTATAGGGCAGTGTAGAAATGCTCCATTCAGTTTCTGCGACTGTAAATCTTTTAATTTTACTAATATATTTGACTGTAAATCTTTATGGGAGCAAATAGCCTCCTCATCTTTTGCCTGCAGAGTGGCTGGTGGATTTGAACTGCCACCCTGTGGTTAGCAGCCCAATATTTAATTGATAGCACCACCATGGCTCTTTGTCAGTAACCAACATTGTCTTTTAAACCGTATACAAATCCTGTGGCTGTCACTAGGATATTCATAAACGATTCTCTCATTCTAAGTGCGTAGTAGGATTTCCTTTCTTGACTTTCTCAGGTATGGTCCTGTGATTTGCTTTGGGCTTGAGCTAACTCTCCTTGCTATCAGGTCGATGCCAAGTCACGGCGAGCCTTTGGGACTGAACAGAACTGCCCTTGTGAAGTTCTGAGACTGTAACGCTTCATAGTAGAAAGCGGCTTTCTCCCAGAGGGTAGCTAGTGATTTTAAACTCTGACCAGCCCAATGTGTAACGACTACGACCGGCACCAGGGCTCCTTGAACTATCTAAAGGGGCTTCAAAAAGTTTGTGAGCAAATGGAATTAAGAGAGAATGGAGTTTTTTCATGACCTTTTTGAAAGCCCCCTTGTAAGCTCACCGATGCTGGTCATTTGTTGGCAGGAGTGTGGAGAGAAGTTGGTCATACTTTCTTGGCCCCCAGCAACTATGGAAGCAAGTGTTGAGACAAGCCTCTGGCCCCCTAGGCCTGAGTCCCTTCAAAGAGCAGAGATCCCTTGCTGGCCCTGGAGAGGCATATTGTATGCAAAATCAACATGGTAGCTTTTATGAGTGGAGAAAATTCAGTCAAACTTAACTGACAAGAAGCCTAAAGACTCAAATAAGATCATCAGTGGTGTTGAAATTTCCATTTATAACTAGTAGCAATTTTCAAGATGAAAGTTTTCCTTTCTCATACTCTGGGCCGGAAAAAGAAAGCCAATAAATAACACAGACAATAAAACTCGACCTTACTGCCAGTTTTTTTGTGAAAAAACAAAACAAAATGATCACACCTTTAAAATATTCGCATTGCTTTACAGATGCGTTTCTTCAAAGTGGGACAGTGGCCTTTCTCCTTCCAGAGACCTAGTTGAACCGTCAACAACCGAGTTTGGTGTATCTCACACTTTCTTCTCTTCACTGGATCCTGCAGGGATGCTTGTCACCCATGCAGATTCCCTGGCCTTGGCCTCTTCTAAGAATGTTGCCGTCCTCCCAACTGGAGGTTCTGTAACCTTGGTTGTTCTATGCTAGCCGCGCCACAGGGGCTGCAATAACGGGCTCAGCCTAACGAGTGTGAGGCTGGGGCAAGACTAGACATGTTTCGTTGTGTTGTACAGGGGTCACCAGGAGTTAGAATCCGCGTGATGGCATCTATCAGCATCAACAACAAGCAACATGTGGCACTCAAATCCACTGTCAACGTGATGCTTCCCCAAGTTTAACACATGCTTTCGTGGTGGAAATGTTAGTGTAAGCAACAAGGAAACCACAATTCTACATAAAAGAATTTTATTTCGTGGTACGGTCCCAATGAATAATGTCAGTTTTCCCGATTCTGCTAAAATGTGCTATTTAGATAGGCTCTTAAGAAAGTGTACGTGCATCACACAAAGCAGGTTCATTTGGGTTGTGTACGGTAAAGGGGAGACTTCATGAACCGTTGTTCTTGGACAAAATCTTTAACGTATAAAAATGAAAAGAAATAGAAGCAGTATTCAAACATAACAAATGTTACCTTGGACTATTTACAGTTAAATGCCTTTTTAATAGGAGAACATTCTCTGCTTATTTTCCGCACAGTTTCCCATTTGCCTTACAAATAGTCTGTCTCACTCCCCCACCTGCCCCTGATTTTTGGTTTCTTCCATTCCTGTATATCTCACAGTCCTTTGCTTTCTTAACTTTCTCACTCATCTTGGAATTTTTCTGATACTCTTAGTTCCTCTTAAATTCCCCAACCAAACCCACAGACATTGAGTCGATTATGACTCATGGCAACCCTGCTTAGAATTTTCAAGGCTGTACATCTTTATGGGAACAGAGAGCCTCACCTTTCTCCCTTGGAGTGGTTGGTGGCTTTAAACCACCAACCTGCCTACTTGAAAGCACCACCATGGCTCACTCCTCCCTTTAAGTCACATATAACTCTAGTCAACGGACATTTTTTGAGCACCTAAGATAAAGCAGGCATGGTGCGGGGAGGTGGGGAGAAATACAGAGATGAATCATCACAGACAGCTGCTCAAGAAGCTCAGCCTCTTGAATTGAACTGAAGAACAATTTAAACCCCACAACACTACCTAGTACATATGAGGATGTCCTTCAAACAAAACGCACTGAGGGACGGGCTGTCGGGTTGGCACGGCTGACATCATTCTGAATCTGGGATTCTCTTTAAGCAGCACCGCCTCAAACGCCCAGGCTACCGTTGGAATGCTGGATGCTGAACTACAGAAGATCTGCGTGCAACAGTTAGGTGTTGGGCAGCAAGGGACCTGCTTCCTGGATTTCAACTCTTGCGGGGAGGGGTGTTGTGTATGTGTGTGCAACCTTTTATTAGCCTTTTAGAAATTCCCAAGTTTGAAAAGCCCTTCTACCCAAACAGAAACATAAAAAAACCACCACAATATAGCTGAACAACAGATACATGTTGAAGGAAAGGCCCCTGATCTGGACCTGTGGCAAGATGCTCTACAAGCCCCATCTTTCATACGTGTCTGGCTGGAGCTCATTTTATTTCTTCCAAATAGATTTCCTTGCGCTCCTTTCTGTATATTTTCTAAGCTTCAAACATGAAGTCAGCAAATAAAGCCTGAAGGTGTTTTTTCTTTGATCTCAAGGTTGAGCCCAAAGCTAGTTTGGCTCTTGCATTTGGTCTATCTATTCTTTGCTCATGAAGCCCGGAGAGACCCATGGGAGTGCCTTAAAAAACAAAAAGGACCAAAAAAAAGGTAAACTATGAAATAATAAAAACAGCCAACAATGATCTGTACATGGCATTATGATAGAAGTAACTACTAACCCTTATGTTTGCTGCCCCATGTTGGCCGATCATAGCCTGGCACACATTCACACTGCGGCACAGTTTTCAGTCACAATGGATTGAATCCAAATCACGGTAGTGGGCTTCGATCCTCTGAAAGTTGGTAGCGTGTGCCTTTTGCGGACTTCACACAGCACCCCACGTCCCCCCACTGAACGAGGTCAAATCAAGGTGAAAGTGAGATGTCCCGGGAAAGTTCTCCTTCGGTCCCATTCCTTTCCACAGTGTCCACAAGGTCACCTCTCTCTGGTTTCCAGCCAAGTCGATGCTACCTGATTTTCCATTCAAGATTATCAGCGCTAGATTCTGAACTTCCCAAGGCGCTGGTCCCAAGCTCTCTGGACCTGAAGGCAACTTTGGGAGTTGGTATTATTCCAGGTTACATTTGGCCTACCCTGCTCTACGGCAGGGAGAACACGGTGTCTGAAATGTGCAGACGAGCAAGGGAAAGAGACATGATCATGCACAAGCTTCTTGCTTGATCGTGCATATATTTTCAGTTCAACAGCATGTATTTCGACACACAAGGGCTTGTGCTTTTCCGTTAGAGAAATAACTCGCCCTGAAAAACTCATTTGGCAAATGTGGCCACAGACTGATGCATGGTGTGTGTATGTGTGTGTGAAGAATGAGCCATGAGGTCATGTATCAAGTCCAGTGAGTGTGCCCGGCTGGTCCCACCCCCACGGTCACACCCACCTCAACAGCAAGGGCAAGCTGATGGGTTACACCTGGTCGGTTTGATATTCTGAAGCTTCGGACAGGCTTTCTGAGAAGCTTAGGAAATTCTCCTGGTACTCAGAGCAAACAATCTCATAGCGATAATGCCGGAACTCCACAGCAAAGGTGCCAAAGTACGACAGGAAGCACATGACCAGGCCCCACTGGATCCTGGCCGCGTACATGTGGATGCCTTGGGCCATGAGGATGAAGTCTGAGGAGACGTCAAGGAAAGCGCCTGTATCAGCCACGTTGAAACAGGGTCGTTTCTGTTCTGCAGAGAAGTGGGTGACTGAGCGTTCACTGTGTGGCAGACCTGGTCCCACGTGCTTTTATGGACGGCCTCACTTAAGCTTCATCACAACCCTGTTACTGTCATTGGCTCATGCCACTCCCTGGTAGGGAAACAGAGGCCAAGGGGTTCAGGACACTTGGCCTGGGATTACACAGGTTGTAACCAGTGAAACTGGGATTGTAACATCCTGACCCACCAGCACCTGGGCCCGTATCCCCTATATGCTACACCTGCCTAACGAACAGAGATAAGCACAGGATTCCAACTCCAAAGTAATCAGTCAGAAAATAAAACTTTGGTGAAATCACTGAAGATGGCTACGGGTCACAGTCGTCTCGTCGTATCATCATCATCATCATCATCTTACTACCACTGAGTCACTGCCGACTCATAACAACCTCACAAGACAGCGTAGAAATGCCTTGGGATCATTCTCCCTTGGAGCGGCTGGCGGTTTCGAACTGAGGCCCTTGAGGTTAGCAGCCCAACATGTAACCACGATGCCACCAGGGCTCCAGTCATCATCATATCCCCTAGGAGTAATTTTGAGCCAAGCCAACTGCCAATGATCTCGATGTAAGGTGTGTTTGCTTCTGCACAGCTACTGACAATGTCCAAAAAGCTCTGCTTCCCCTTCTAATTTTCACTACTCTCCCTCAGGCAACACAGCAGAAATCAAGCACCTGCAATGATAGCTCAATTAAACTCTAAGCATTCATGTATAGGTAGCATTTCTGGCGTCAAATTTAAACTTGCGGCCAAATGAAAATATGCCATGAAAAAAACCCAAGAAACATGAGCTGCTGATGTCAGAATATGTACAACCTCACCAGGATATAGGGAGGGAGGAATAGGGAAGGAGAAAGGGTCATAGAAAGGTCAAGAACGGAATATATTTATTTAGAAACTCAGAATTCATTTTGTCTCCAGAACCAGACTTAAAATCTTGGGGAATTTTCTGATGGTCTGGATATGTGTAACTTCTTTGGCTAAACTTCGCTCTCCAGCGAGGCCTGAGTCCATTCCCTTGAGAACCAAGACATGTTTTCAGGTCATCAGAAACAACACCGATCAGAGCCAAATGGTGTAAGCTCAAAATGCAAGATCATTTACAGCCTATCCACATGACTCTGACTTTGCTCAAAATACTGCTAAAGAAATATTACCTAGGACAACACAAAAGTGGGTGAAGGGAGATGTCGGACAGTGCAAGGTATGACAAAATGATAATTTATAAATGATCAAGGGTTCATGAGGGAGAGGGCAGCAGGGAGGGAGGGGAAAAATGAGGAGCTGATGCCAGGGGCTTACCTGTAGAGTAAATGTTTTGAGAATGATGAGGGCAATGAATGTACAAATGTGCTTTACACAATTGATGTATGTATGGATTGTGATAAGAGTTGTATGATCAACTGAAGAACAATTTAAACCCCACAACACTACCTAGTACATATGAGGATGTCCTTCAAACAAAACGCACTGAGGGACGGGCTGTCGGGTTGGCACGGCTGACATCATTCTGAATCTGGGATTCTCTTTAAGCAGCACCGCCTCAAACGCCCAGGCTACCGTTGGAATGCTGGATGCTGAACTACAGAAGATCTGCGTGCAACAGTTAGGTGTTGGGCAGCAAGGGACCTGCTTCCTGGATTTCAACTCTTGCGGGGAGGGGTGTTGTGTATGTGTGTGCAACCTTTTATTAGCCTTTTAGAAATTCCCAAGTTTGAAAAGCCCTTCTACCCAAACAGAAACATAAAAAAACCACCACAATATAGCTGAACAACAGATACATGTTGAAGGAAAGGCCCCTGATCTGGACCTGTGGCAAGATGCTCTACAAGCCCCATCTTTCATACGTGTCTGGCTGGAGCTCATTTTATTTCTTCCAAATAGATTTCCTTGCGCTCCTTTCTGTATATTTTCTAAGCTTCAAACATGAAGTCAGCAAATAAAGCCTGAAGGTGTTTTTTCTTTGATCTCAAGGTTGAGCCCAAAGCTAGTTTGGCTCTTGCATTTGGTCTATCTATTCTTTGCTCATGAAGCCCGGAGAGACCCATGGGAGTGCCTTAAAAAACAAAAAGGACCAAAAAAAAGGTAAACTATGAAATAATAAAAACAGCCAACAATGATCTGTACATGGCATTATGATAGAAGTAACTACTAACCCTTATGTTTGCTGCCCCATGTTGGCCGATCATAGCCTGGCACACATTCACACTGCGGCACAGTTTTCAGTCACAATGGATTGAATCCAAATCACGGTAGTGGGCTTCGATCCTCTG